GTGCTCTGCCCGCAGGCAGGTCTGCAGCCGCCCCAGAGGATGGACATCAGGCCGAACCACACCATCTACATCAACAACATCAATGACAAGATTAAGAAAGAAGGTATGCGTGTCCGTGACTCGCCTTGAGAAAGCGGACGTTCTCACGTCGGGGTAGTTTCCACGCCTGGTCATACGCCCTCACGCAGCGCTCGGCGTGTTGGCAGTGCCGGGGCTTCGGGGGCTGCCGGGGCTCTCTGAAGCGCCCGGCGGCTCCCCAGACGGCTGCTCGTGATGAAGAGGCAGCTAAAGTCAACAAACGTAGCACAACCTTTAAGTCTTTTTGTAAGCCAGGGCCCTCGTTTCTACCGAAGTTTCTGGTTGTCTCTCTGCTGTAGTGCTGTAGCTAATTGCATACGTTAGGTTTCCTCGTCAGTGAATAACTGTAACGATAGCAGTAATCAGAATATCTGATGGATGCTAAGAGGGACGTTGGCATACATTTCGGTGGCCAGCAGTCCTCCCTCACTGCAGCGTGGGAGCATCTGTGTGCTCCTCATTTGTTTTGGCGCCACACAAAAGCAGTGAGCATGGCCTGAGCCAGCCTGCTTTGCATCGTCGTGTCAGGGATGCTGCCTTGCAGTCGCTGCAGCCCTCCCTAGAAACAGATGACATCGTGCTGAAGAATTTTAGCTCCTTGCAGTGTGCTAAAAAAGAAAAAAATCTTTTGCCCTTATCTGGCTCTATATTCCAATGTTTGTATACAACCATCCACTCAGTGCTCATGCATAGCTTGTAATCTAAAATGATCAAGGTAATTTATTTGTTACTGTTTGTGAACAGAGTGGCTGGAACAGACTAGCACTACTTAAATGTTTCTTCAGGGAGCTTTAGAGAGAGATCTGAAAGTGGAAACAGCTTTGATAAGAAATTATTTATTAACTTGTCAAGATGGTTCTACTGAATAAATTTAACTTAGGGCTTTGTTTGTAGCATTGGAACAGGCTGCCCAGAGAGGTGGTGGAGTCACCATCCCTGGAAGAGTTCAAAAAACAGGTAGACGTAGCACTTCAGGACATGGTTTAGTCTAGTCTACCCTTAATTGGTTTAGTGTGGACTTGGTAATGTTAAGTTAATGGTTGGACTGGATGATCTTAAAGGTCTTTTCCAACCTAAATGATTCTATGTTAAGTGCCGTATAAACTAGTAAGTCTCCATTACGAAATTGTGTGGTTATGGTTTTTAAATCTAGGGTTTCAAATTACCTGTAAAGCTCACAAATGTGATTTATTTTATTAATACAGTTTTGGAAGTTATTTTTAAGGAAAGTGTTTTGATAAGAAAATGTTTTTTTAAAAAAAATACAGCACTGTGGTTGGTTGAGAGCAGCTGGACAAAGTGATGGTGGGCTTGTATTGCCAAGTCTCAACAGTAATAAACAAGAGGCAGTGCTCTTACATTGCTGAAATATTTCAAAAGTAAGATTTGTGAGTTAGGGTAACCATGCAATACAGAGGATTTAGTTAGCTTGATTGGATAAGATTAAGGTTTAATTTGGCATGTGGTCAGGTGATTTTAAATAATGAAAATAAATCTGTTGCAGTGGTAAGGTACAGTGTGATCATACAAAAACATTCAGATCCAGAATGTGAAAAAAATATTTAATGTGCCTGAGAGAATTGATGAAACAGTTACAAACAAAATTTCCAAATCTAATTAGCCGTTAAGTAGTTACTATTTTGCCACATTCTTGTTTTAAATCATACCTGTTCACTGTTGCGTGTTACAGTATGGATTTTCTGATCAGTCTTTGACAGTTTTCTTACATCATACTTGAATGTGTGAGAGTGTGTGTGTGTATATATGTGTGTATGAAGAAATGTATATGCATATCCTTGTGTAATTTTTACTCTCTTGGAATGGTAGAATGGGCAGTGGTACAACTTTCACTACCTGAATACTGGAGGTGTGAAACCAAGTGCTATACGCCAACTTAAAAAAACTGGGCAAATAAACTTGTACTCATGCAACAGTTTTGAGTGAACTCATGTAACATATTGCTGTGGGAGCTAAAGCTGGCAAAAAACATTGTCCCTGAAGAACAGCAAACTCTGTGGTAGTGGACATTTGCATGCAACCTGTTACAATCTATTTTTTTGTATTGTCAACAGAACTGAAAAGGTCCTTGTATGCGTTGTTCTCACAGTTTGGTCACGTGGTCGACATTGTGGCTTTAAAGACTATGAAGATGAGAGGACAGGCATTTGTTATATTTAAAGAACTTGGATCGTCTACCAATGCTTTGAGACAACTACAAGGTTTTCCATTTTATGGGAAACCAATGGTAAGTTACTTTGTTAGCTTTTTAAAGAGAAAGAAATTGCCATGGTATGATACAGGGTTTTGGTACTTGCACCTTGTGAATTAACTATCACGTGTACTGCAACTGTGCTGTTAATCAGTTGCGTCATGGCTTGATGAATATATGTATTTATGCAAGCTAGAGGGATGCTGGAGAGACTAGTTAAAACACACACAGAATTGAACTTAGCATTTAGGTTTCCAAAGTGATGGCTTTATGTTTTTCTATGCTGGATTGAAGTTTGTAAGATCTTAAATACTTCCATTTTACTCATCATGTCCTCTGTTGAACCGATTAAATTCATTCTGCAATGTTATCAAAATTAGATGCTTTCAGTTAATTTATCCAGAGTAACCATAATTGCTGTTATATTCATAATAAATAGCTAGAATATGATGCTTCCTTTTTGAGGTAATGGTGAGTAGAGTGAAAATATCTGCAGTTTTGCTTTCTAGAAATCAACAGATGTGACCAGTGATTTATTTTTTAAATCAACAGCCAGTTCTGCTTGTGCATGCATCACATCACCAAACCAAATAACTGAATTTCAGTATAACTTCAGTGAAGCAAATACACTGCTGGTTGATAGAATGTGATTTAATAATGTACTTGATAATGTGCAGAATAGCACAACAATTGACACATCATTGCCTGCTTGGATAATTAGGCAGCTCTTAATTCTACAACTATTTGTGAGGCGTAATGATACATGCAAACGGCCCACTTGACTTCAGTGATGGATGGATATATTAATACTGGCTTTCAGCTCATGGCTTTGAGCATTAAGGAGAGCACAGACAGTTGTGTTGCTGAGCCACGAGCTTTTTTCAATTAACACTTTCAGATTCTCTAATGAAATCCTTAACAAGGAATTGTGCAAGCTCAGTTCTATTGTTTACCCTTAAGGAGTTTTGTGATCAGTAAAATTCAATAGGAACTAAAAAGATTGAGGCTTCATAAGCTTTCAGGTGTAATTCACTCTTTGAATACTGCCTGCAGCATGCATACTCTTAAGTGCTAAACAAAAGTATTAGAAAAACCCCCTTGCAACTGCTCTGTAATTTTGTATTGTGGTAGTCTCTGATAATAAAAGTGATAGGCTTGTGTGCATTTGTAATGTTGCACACCTGTGCACTCACAGCTGAATCTGCTTACCTCCCTGATTAGCACATTGGGCACCCTTTGTCAGAAAACCAGCCCTGTTGTGCTGCTGACAGGATTTACGCAAGCTGGTTTGGATTAAGGCAGGTACTTGCCTTCCTATTTGAAGGCTGAGTTCTGCTGAACTCAATTTTCTGCAGAGATCTGAGAAATCACTGTAAAATTTTAACTCCCCTTAAAATGGCATTAAAAGATTGTCTCAGGTTTTTTAATAGAAGCTAGTGTTGATTTTGTCAAATGCTCTTATATTGCTTTGTACATCTGTTACCTTGGCAGATGTTAAAAAGATGCTGTTAGATGAATAGAATTCCAATTTCAATGACTTAAAACTAGTAATTTCCATCTTAGGTGTTTTTTTTAGAGTGCTGTACTTGTGCTCAGAATTAATTATGAGGATTAGATACTGTGTAAGCATACCTACAGTTTATAACAATATTTTTAATATAAGAATTTCCTGCAAAAAATATGTAAATGCACAGTAGAACACAATTAATGAAAGTGGTGCAAAATGTTCAATACTGTTAACTGCAAAATGTACTGATTTTTTTTCCTTCCAAAAAGCGCATTCAGTATGCAAAAACAGACTCTGATATAATCTCTAAAATGCGTGGTACTTTTGCTGATAAGGAAAAAAGGAAGGAAAAGAAGAAGGCCAAATCTCTGGAGCAGTCAGCAAATGCAGCAAATAAAAAGGTTATCCAGGTAAGCTGCTTCTCTGTTTAAAAAAGAAAAAACAACCAACCAAACAGAAAAGCTATTTTAAGGGTTGTTTGTGGGGTTTTTTTTAGGATTAAGTATTGTCTTTTGGTACTTCTCAATTCCCTAAATTGTGGTCTATTGATATCTAGTGCTCTTGAGTAGTCACTAGAAGGAGAGGGGGTTGATTACATAGCCCTTGTTGTTCCTTACCCCTGCCCCCTTTTGTATTACCAGATGAAAACAAAGATGTAGGGCAAAGGTACAATAAACCAAAGTAGAAACTAACCTCTAAAAAGAAAAAAGGAGGGGTGTGTGCTTGTATTTAATGCCAGCTCCAAGTGCTCAACCAGATTTTCCCTTTGCTGTTTTAATGCCTATTTGCTCTGTAGGCACTGAAGAATGGTAAATGGGAACAAGATAATTCATTTAAAGGTAGATGAAAAGGAGTAGGCTTGGAATATATCTCCACTAAGGGTTGGTCTGGCCTAAACTAACAACGTTTAGTAATTTATGTGCTGAAGTATAGCAGAAGACATCAAGGCACAGAGTTTGAATAGTGTGTTATTTAACTACACTTCCTGCTAAGGTACGCTGCTGAGTGTTCATAGAAAGCAACACTTTCTACGTAGAATATTGAGATTTCTCAGGATTTATTAAAAAATCAATTGTTATATACAAATCTCGTAGGAAGAAATAATTGCTACTAGCTATAATAGTAATAGCTTTAGTTATCCTTGCTAAACTGGAGTCCTCAGTGGAAACACCTATTTTTCTCCTATTAGGTATGTCCCATCTAGGCCTTCATTTTCAAAACTACTTCCTTCCTGTCTATTAAACCAAATTTTATAATGTGGAGAAATAGCAATTTGCAGTATCTGCTGGCTCAGCTGTTAGTCAGATCAGATACTACTGATGTTTTTTTCTTTGATTGCCTGGTTTTGGAGTTCGGCAAAATTCATGTGCTTTATGTTTCCCTTTGGGAGGTATCTCATAAGCAACAAATGTTCCTTGGATTGTAGCTTAAAAACCACTTAACATACCTCTTGATTTGTACAGAAACATGGTGATGTGTGCTTATGTATTTCTAACAGAACACCTTTGTGAAACTATTTTGTACTTACTTACTAGGGAGCAACACCAAATTCAGCCAGTGCCCCAGGGACTGCAGCACAGAATCAACAGGTAATGCTTTTTTTGTGACTGAAAGCACTAATGTTTAAAATTATTGTGTATGAATAATAGTTTATTATACATGGAAATTTGAGGATATATTTTACAGCTTCCTTTTTGTTCTGTGACAACATTTGTCTAACAGTTAAATCACAGTAAGCAAATAAATCCCAATTCTGCTGTATCTGGTTGACATGAAATGAAAATTTGCAGTTTCTCATTGTTATACAGAAAACTGCACTATTAACAGATCCTGCTGGATTCTTAAATTTGGACTGTGCTTAGTTGAAGGATTCTTAATTTTTTTTCCACTGTTAATAAATTCCCTTTAAGTTATTTTTTTCTACTAATAGAAAAGGAGAAGGAAGACTACACAGGGTGCCAGAATATCTGCCTAAAAGCTTCCTTTCAGGAGTTTGGGGGTCCTCTGCTATTTTTTTTTTTTTTTTCTCTCATGGTGTCATATTTTCCAAAGGATTGTGTGGTCATCTAGCAGCAACTCCCTATGCTTCTGTTGTGTTTTAACCCCAGTTGGCAACTGAGCATCACACAGCTGCTCGGTCACCCTCCCCACCAGCTGGGATGGGGGAGAGAAGGGGGGGGAGGGAAGTAAAACCCATGGGTTGAGATAAAGGCAGTTTGATAAGGCAGTAGAGGAAGAGAAAGTAATAATAATGATAAAAGAATATGCAAAACAAGTGATGCACCATACAACTGCTCATCAGCCGATGCCCAGCCAGTCCCTGAGCAGCAATCGCTGCTCCCCAGCCAACCCCCCCCGCCCCCCAGTTTCTCTACTGAGCATGACGT